TGTAATGTGAATTGAAAAGTAGAAATCTCTCCTCAAACTCTCCTTCATCTCTCGTAGTGGGAATAGGGCCTAAATATGTGTACTCAAAAGAAATGCATATAAAAGTACCACTGCTGCTGCAGCTAGTGTAACTACTGCCTCTAATGTTACAAACACAATAACTGCATTTGAAACTAAATTGCCTCTACAATCAGTGAAGAATATACAAATCTATAGATTGTTTCATAACCCTGAGTGGGTGTGTGTAATATCATGAGGGATTTCAAAAAGAAAGAAAGAGTGAAGAAGAATGATGCTTCAGGCAAAGAGGCTGTTAGGCAAATGTTTCTGTCATGGATTCAGTAATCCTTTGCTCTAATCCTTATGTCTGTACAGACAGCTGGAGAGCCAAGAGCTGGCTCACTGGGAGCCATGAGAAACCAGAGGTCCAGCCCTGCGTAGACTGTGTCCGAAATGGAACATAATTCCCTATATAGGCTCTGGTCAAAGGTAGTGCACTATGTAGGGTGCCATTTGGGACTACACTACACTCTACCAGACCAGAGGGAACACTTAGTGTCGCACGCCCCCTCTTCTATGGAAACCATACACTTTTACAGTGCACAAAACCCCAAGCAAACTGAGTTCCACTTCCACATCAAGTCTCCAAGGTCCAATTTGATGAATGACATCAGCTAAATAATAGTAATGAAAATAAACACCTGTGAATTCCACGGTGACCTTTCACTGAGTGATTAGCCTGACTCATTAGCCTCCGCTAGCTCTGAAACACATTTGTGTATATTACAGTAATACATTCATCTCATACTCAATCTCGTAATTATTGTGTTCCATGTCAAGGGGCACACACACCTGCACTGACTGTCCCACGGTACTCAGTGTAGAGTGACGTGGTTCCTCTCTAACATACACAGATGGATAGTTCATTTGTGCTTCTCATAGCCATATCTATCCACATACTGTCCCAAACGCAGTGTAGTGTTGCCGGAGCGCGGGGGAGAGAAAGGGGAAAGGGGGATTCCTAGTCAGTTGCACAACTCAATGCATTCAACCAAAATGTGTCTTCTGCATTTAACCCAGCCCCTCTGAATCAGAGAGGTGCGGGAGCTGGCAAAACTATTTCTGGAAAATGTACTCTGATCAATTCGAAATAAATTATGTTGAATTACTAACAGAAATTCCAATAAGAACCCTAGAATGACAAACCAAATACTGTAAACATGTATAGCAGCCTAGAGGTAAACTACATGACCAAAAGTATGTGGACACCTGCTTGTCGAACATCTCATTCCAAAATCATGGGCATTAATATGGAGTTGGTCCCCCCTTTGCAGCTATAACAGCCTCCACTCTTCTGGGAAGGCTGTCCACTAGATGTTGGAACATTGCTGCAGGGATTTGCTTCCATTCAGCCACAAGAGCATTAGTGAGGTCGGGCGCTGATGTTGGGTGATTAGGCCTAGCTCACAGTCGGCGTTCCAATTCATCCCAAAGGTGTTTGATGGGGTTAAGGTCAGGGCTCTGTGCAGGCCAGTCAAGTTCATCCACACCGATCTCGACAAACCATTTCTGTATGACCTCGCTTTGTGCACGGGGGCATTGTCATGCTGAAACAGGAAAGGGCCTTCCCCAAACTGTTGCCAAAAAGTTGGAAGCACAGAATCGTCTAGAATGTCATTGTATGCTGTAGCATTAAGATTTCCCTTCACTAGAACTAAGGGGCCTAGCCTGAACCATGAAAAACAGCCCCAGACCATTATTCCTCCTCCACCAAACTTTACAGTTGGCACTATGCATTGGGGTAGGTAGCCTTCTCCTAGCATCCGCCAAACCCAGATTCTTCCGTCGGACTGCCAGATGGTGAAGCGTGATTCATAACTCCAGAGAACGCGTTTCCACTGCTCCAGAGTCCAATAGCGGCGAGCTTTAAACCACTCCAGCCGACGCTTGGCATTGCGCATGGTGATCTTAGGCTTGTGTGCGGCTGCTTGGCCTTGGAAACCAATTTCATTAAGCTCCCGACAAACAGTTATTGTGCTGACATTGCTTCCAGAGGCAGTTTGGAACTCGGTAGTGAGTGTTGCAACCGAGGACAGACAATTTTTACGCGCTATGCACTTCAGCACACGGCAGTACTGTTCTCTGAGCTTGTGTGGCCTACCACTTCGCGACTGAGACGTTGTTGCTCCTAGACGTTTCCACTTAACAATAACAGCACTTACAGTTGACCGGGGCAGCTCTATGAGGGCAGAAATTTTACAAACTGACTTGTTGGAAAGGTGGCATCCTATGACTGTGCCATGTTGAAAGTCACTGAGCTCTTCAGTAAGGCCATTCTACTTCCAATGTTTTCCTATGGAGATTGCATGGCTGTGTGCGTGCTTGATTTTATACACCTGTCAACAACGGGGTTTGAAGGGGTGTCCACATACTTTTGTATATATAGTGTAGATAAATGGTGGTTTCATCCCTGTTTTCACTCTGGCGGTGGTGAGAATGATGAAGAAATGTAGTAGGCTACGTGTGTGCACTGCAGAGGCCTGTCGGAGGCTAAATGTCTCATTCCCTGCAGCTCTGCGGAGTTTAGCCACATGAACCGTATCACTCCAGCGAGATGTAGGATCCAAATTCACCCTGTGTCTGCATTGATGTTCAGAAAACTCCACGGACCCCCTCTTGCGCAGTGGAACCCAAAACGATATGCGACCACTTGGTTACGTTAACACCGTTCTGCCAAGAACACCCAAACAAGACTGGCCACCGCAAACCCCAAGGAGCCTGACACTCTCTGGAAGTTGCTGTAGCCTGCTTGGGATATTTAGACTATATTGGCTATTGGTTGAGACTGATGCAGCTCTAGCTTGGTTTGTCAGGGTGGGCAATTGTAATTGTGAATTGGGCCAAGTTGGAGGTAATAATGCATTTAGGTTATAGTTTATTGAGATGCATGAATACACCACACCAAAAGCTTGATTTTATGGCTGTTTTAAAAAACGAATTTCCTGCAATTCTACGTAGTAATGATTTATGTTCACTACTTGGTCAATTGATTTGATAGCATGTTTAATCTATATAACTAAATTCTAAAAGTGATAGTTCACCTCTGTTTTCTTTTATCCTGTAATAGGGTATATTGTAACCATGAGTTCAAGCTTATCAAATCAACGTTTATTTATGATACAGTGTAGTGTAAGCTACACAGTACAATGAAATGCCTACTCACAACTAAAGCTCTCCTCGCAAACAGTGCAATGATATTAAGCTATATGTATTTGTATTTCCATTAGGCTATAGCCTACAAATAGCTATATCACATAGTCGTAGGCCTATCAGGCTATGCTGCAAATTATTGTTGTTTGTTCCTGAACTGGCCGAATGACAGAGCTATCCTTCAGCACCACAAGTTAGTTCAACTTCTTTAACATCATTGCGCAATCCTGGCTCTGTCCTTTCAGCACCAGGAAGGGCGCTCCAATTACTTAAAATAACACTCTACGCCTAATAGTCCTTGTCATCACTTATTATTATTATTACACATAGAAGATTATCGCTTCTCACAATGGTGCTCGTTTAGTAAAGTTAGATCTAATTAATCTAATCTAATCTGTAGCTCAATTGGTAGAGCATGGCGCTTGTAACGCCAGGGTAGTGGGTTCGATCCCCGGGACCACCCATACGTAAAAAATGTATGCGCACATGACTGTAAGTCGCTTTGGATAAAAGCGTCTACTAAATGGCATATTATTATTATTATTATTATTATATTATTAGATCAAAGCTGAATCAATGTCTCACAAGATCATATATTGATTAATTTGTATTTTACAGATGCAGATGCGGTTTGGTTGTTTCAATGGTAAAACGTGAAGAATTATCATTCACGATTGACAGTGATGATGGCCTATTTTGAAATTAGGTATGCCTAACTTGGTGTTTGAGGGTATTAAAAAAAGAACATTGTCTTGAGACAATATGTGTGGGCATAGACAGACGTTGCAATCGGAGGATGCATTTTATGCATAGGCCTATTCTACAATGACATTCAATAGGCTACATTTGTCGGTACAAACTTTGATTGAGGAAATGATGACGTCATTTAAATATATTTTTTGCGCTCCCTTACCTAAAAACAATTGCATTACACCTCTACCCAAACAGCACATGATACCTCTCTGATTCCCAATGCAACCACACTACATAATGTGTTGACATACATACACAGATGCACACTGCAGGCATGCATGTACTGTACACACAGGAAGACTAAAAAATAAGTGTCTTCCATTTTGACCAGCTGGCCTTGTCCTTGACACCGAGACACTCACGCTCTTACGCTCAAAAACACTCAAAACCTCAACACACCCATACCCAGGTGCTTACACCCCCTCACTCCCCCATTCCCTATTCCTCCACCCCCACACAGTGCACTCTGACCCCCAAAGCCAGGTGACAGGTGCTCCTCCAACCCCAACTCTCACCACTTCTCTGCTCTACTCGGTACTGACATACACAGGGTTGGATCTTATGTAGTATCTACAATACTGTACTGGATTATCTACAATACTCTTAAATAGTATCTACAATACTATTCATTCTCATAATTATCATAGTTACAATACACAATCATAGACAGGAGCTATGGAACAATACAGATTGCCAATCAGACTGATGCATTTCCTTGTGTTCATAATACACAACATTCTTGACCTGGACTGGACTATGGGTTTAGCACTACACACCATTCAAGACTTATCACTGTGTTTTCCCAATGAATGTTTTCACATTCACAATGTATACATTAATGTTCCTTTGAATGGCAGAGACCCCCCTGCTGGCCTGCGGGTGTATACTAAAAAATGAGTGTGTCCTTGGATTAAAATTACAATAGTACATACTCTAATTCTATGGGTCATTCATGGGTCAATTTTATGGGGTGTGTGCCTGGTTTTGTGTTCTGTCCCTATACCAGTGATGGTGATTGGTTCCTACCTACACAGTGTCTATGGTGATTGGGTCCTACCTGCAGCAGAGTGAATGAGGATGCTTTGGTTGGGCCTCAGGTTGCCAAAGTCAAACAGCATCATGTAGGCGGTGATGTAGTTGACGGGGAGGGCGGCTGCCTCCTCAAAGGTCATGCCCTCTGGGATGAGGAACGTGTGGGTAGCGGGCACCACGGCCACCTCCTGCCACAGCCCACAGCGGTTCAGTACCAGCACCTTGTCACCCACCTGCATGGACAGGAAGTGACATCACAGAAGGGGGGGGGGGGGTAAGTCATGGTTTACTATAAGGTTACAAAATCCCAGTACATTTCTGACAATTCCCAGGTTTTCCAGGAATCCTGGTTGGAAGATTCACGGAATCAGGAGGGAATAAGCAGGAAATCCTGGATCCTCCAAACAGGATTTTGGGAAAACCTGGGAATGTGGGTAAGGTTACTGGAATTTTGCAACCCTAACTATTGTATATCTACTGTAATGTCATTTAGTTCACAAGATACAAGTGGATATGTTTATGGAAAGCAAGGGATCAGTTGTTTTGTGGTTTGGTGTTGGGCAGAATTTTACAGGTCTGTTATTTTCCCATTTGTTGTTTACCTTATAGGTTAAAACATTCACTCTGACCACACACTGTGACAACAGTCAACAACATAACATGATGTGGCATTAGCCGCCACTGCTACTCCTCTCTCTCTGATAATTATCACCTCCCTCTTTATCACCCCAACCCCCCTCCCCTCCTCTCCCCTGCTTGTCATTTTGGGCGCCGTGTCCCCATTCTGACTTATCAGAGCAGCAGGAACCTCCGACCCTCTCCTGTCTGTTCAGGAGGAAGAGCCCCACTGTAAACTTCCCCCCGCCGAGGGACTGGCCAATCAGGGAGGAACACACAAGGGACACAGGAAACAGAGCCCACCACTGCATTCAAACCCTCTTCCTGTTTTCTCCCTCCTCCCTCCTCCACCCCACCTCTACATCCATCTGACTCCTTCCTTCCTTCGCTCCACTGCTCTCCCTTTCCCTCAACCTGTCACTCTTCCTCATTGTCTCTCCCTCTCACTCCTTCAGTATCTCTTCTGATTGTCTCTCTCTCTCACTCCTTCAGTATCTCTTCTGATTGTCTCTCTCTCTCACTCCTTCAGTATCTCTTCTGATTGTCTCTCTCTCTCACTCCTTCAGTATCTCTTCTGATTGTCTCTCTCGCCATCTCCCTCTGTCTCACTCTATCTGTATTGTACAGTATCTCCTCTACCCCCTCTCTTTTCATCTCCCTCCCTCCTCCCGTCTCCCTTTCTCTATCTCCCTCCCTCCCTCTCTCTTCCTCCCTCCATGGGCCCTGTGCGAGGAGTTGCCCGTTTCCCCTCTTCCTCATCAGTGAGACAGGACAATGGGTCCCATCGTCTCCCCTGGCCGCTCTCCACTCATCAGCGGCCCTGCCAGATTCTTCTCCATGGCTGAGCACAAGACAAGCTCTCTCCTCCTGGGAACAAACTCACTCCTCCCGCCCCAACCTCCCCACCATCCTCCCGCCCGCCCGGGCCTCTCTAATGGTCTGGAGGGAGCGATGTGCCTCGCTGTCTGTCTATCCACTCCAATTAGAGAGATCTCCCTCTTCCCTCTCATTCACTCTCCCTCTCTTTATATCGCCGTCTCAAACTGATGCGTTTTGAGTCTTTCCTCTTTCTCTCTTTCACTCCTTTTTCTATCAGTCTTCATCTTTCACTGTCTCTTTCCTTCCCTCTGCAAATCCTTCTCTCCATCTCACTGTGGCTGTAGTGAAACTCATTGCCCTCAGTCTGTTAATTGGAGCTCCAGTGTGGCAGGTAGCATCAATAGGCGGAGGCGTTAGAGCCGAACAGGAAACACACTGATGACTCAACCATCACATTCAACTACATCGGCAAGTATTGTGTGCCCATGTTAGGCATGTGAGTGGCCGTCACACACACACATGCACACACACACACACCAGAAGAACGCACACACATGCACACACGCAATCAGAAGAACAACACACACAAACACACTCAAACACACTCTAGGCCAAAGTCCTTCTTGTGACTTGCCTATCACAGCACCTGTTACTGTGTGACCCCCCTCCTACTTCTCTCATGTCCTTTCCCCCCTTGACTCTCCAGCCTCCAATGAAGTCACCGCACAGTGTATGAGGGGGAGCTTCTCAAAGAGCCTTGTGGTCAGCTGCTGTACAGCAATGGCCTTTATCAACTAGTGATTCAGGTTTGGGGTATGTGGGCTACAAGTCAGAGGTTATGTGGTTTGACGATCTCAGCAAATTTTGCCCCCAATTGGTTAGATCATGGATTCTAGTCTCAACCGGAGGAGTAGCTGTGAACTCAGTATGGCACCTTAATGTTCTCATGGGGCCTAGATTAGATTAAAGGACAAAGGACAATGTATTCATCCTACTGTTGTGTCAGCAGTGTTGTCCTCTAACATTGTTAAGCGTAAATTATAGGCGTCCCATTGTGACATAGCTACACGGCTTTGCACCATCACGGGTGACACTCAGCCCGAACGCGCACTTCCCCACAATTCCCGACAAAGGCATCTCCGGCACGCTTCCTCTATTCATTTGAATGTGTTGACAGTTGGAGAAATTGCTTGAGCTGTGCTGAGAATTCAAAAGTATAAAAGCCAACGGTCCAATATTCTAGAACACTACTGTGTGTATGCGTACATGTTTTGGACAATTATAAACCCTTTAGTCTGCTAATGTGTGAACTGTGTGAGACTGAGACGGTCATACATGGAGCATTACATGTGTCAGGATCACGGCCCCGCCCTTTTCAAGAATGGCACCTACCTTGAGTTTTACCTATAATCTGTGCTTTCAGCCTGCTCTTTCTACCATTGCAGCTGTTACCATGACTACGGCACTACAATAGCAAATATTGTTACTAATAGGCTACAACTGTTCACAGTAACATAATAGTTGTTATAACACTGATGAAAGCACACACTCAAAAAACCTCTACAGAACCGAGAGGAACCAAGAACGACAACTCAGAAACATGATGTCTGTTTGTCTCCAAGTTTCAGGCGTCTGATTTTCTCCTCTCTTCGTGGTTTATGGCTGACTATGAAGACAGACTGTGCAAAACGCATGCTACGAGTGTGCTTCCCATCTGTAGCGAAAAGGAGGACAAGAGGGACGGATCGGAGCGAGGTAGGAGGGACGGAGGAAATACCAGACTGACAATGTGGGCCGGAGGGAGATAATTGAGAACATATGGGTCAGATCCTACCAGAGCTCAGCTAAAGCTTATACTCTCAAAAAAGGAAAAGGGTTTAGTGAAGAAAGTGCTGATGTTGATTGTCAGTCATGGGTACTGAGTGTAATTTGGGATATTTCCCTCTTTTTGTCACTTACTCACTCTTCCCCTTTCCCTGCACTGCTAGTGCGGTTATTCGGGGTGATGTCACTGTAGTATTAACCCACATCCAGTCACTGTGTCACTGCAGACTCAGTGAAAGTGTGTGTGTGTATGTGTGCATGTGTCTATGTATGTGAGTGTCTGTGAGAGAGAGAGAGAGAGAGAGAGAGAGAGAGAGAGAGAGAGAGAGAGACCCAGTGAGGTCAGAAGCCTCCCAAAAACAGTGACTACAACTAAGGTCAGCACATTCCCTGTGAGCTCCCTCCTGCCAAAACACAGAGATCTCTATCCATTAGGAAGATTGGCTCTTAATTTAGGGAGTTGGAGTTGGGGGAAGGTAGGGGTAGTATTGGGACTGCAGTGTGTGTGTGTGTGTGTGTGTGTGTGTGTGTGTGTGTGTGTGTGTGTGTGTGTGTGTGTGTGTGTGACCTTCTAATCCAATCTGCATGACTAACAAAGTGCAGTGAGGCCAGGGAAGTATCTAATAGGACATGGGTCATATCATATATTATGCTGTCTAGTACCATTGTGCTGTCAAAGACCAACACAGAACCAATAACTCTGGTATATAGATGCTTCTATATGCTCATCTCATCCCTACGGATTCTTCAGGTCCAGTGGATGTCAGGGACATGACCACTCCCTGCTGAGACAGGGGTGCACTGATATTATTAGTGTGCGTCCAAAATGACACCCTATTCTCTAAATAGTGCACTACTTTTGCCCAGAGGCCTATGAGCACTGGTCCAAAGTAGTGCACTACATAGAGAATACGGTGTCATTGGGACGCAGACTTAGACTGATCTGGCACCTTCTCTTTTGTGCTTTAATGGCTCTTGCTGACATGGTCCAAATGCAACATCAGCACAACTGCAGAGTATTCTTATTTTAATTAGTCTAGACCTGGGTCAATTTGTCTTCATGTCAATGAGTTTTGTAATGTAAGGTTAATCAATTGCTTAAGAGCAATAAAGGTTTATAACAGGGTTATAACATCAGAACATATGATTGGTGTGGTAAAAATGGCAATTAATATACATCAAGTCTTTGTGCTTAGTGAACATTGTGGTTTTCTCATAGAGTTTTATCTGTGATGGTTTTCGGTCTCAGGTTCAAATAATATAACAAAAATATCTCTAGGCTACTATATGTCTAAATCGCAATATTATTAAAAATGTAACACATTTAAGGGGACGTTAGGCACAATATGTTGCTATTAGCTCCATTGAAAGGATGTGGTTGGTGTTGCCATGCCGTCAGTAATGTAACTGTCAGTCAAACATGACTCATCACACTATTCAAACAAGGAGAGGTAGCCTGGAATGATCAATGCATAGGCGATGTTATTATCATACAAGTAATGCTGATTATATGACAACGGATTTATGTGAAGATATAAGATAGATAAGCAGATAAGCAAAATAATACAGTTATTTCAACATATTCATAGTATGGAAATACACTGAGTGTACAAAAAATAAAAGAACACCTGCTCTTTCCATGACATAGACTGACCAGGTGAAAGCTATAATCTCTTATTGATGTCACTTGTTAAATCCACTTCAATCAGTGTAGATGAAGGGGAGGAGACAGGTTAAAGAATGATTTTTAAGCCTTGAGACAATTGAGACATGGATTGTGTATGTGTGCCATTCGGAGAGTGAATAGGCAAGACAAATGATTTAAGTGCCTATGAATGGGGTATGGTAGTATGTACCAGGCGCCAAGAACTGCAACGCTGCTGGGTTTTTCATGCTCAACAGTTTCCCGTGTGTATCAAAAATGGTCCACCACCCAAAGCACATCCAGCCACCTTGACATAACTGTGGAAAGCATTGGAGTCAACCAGCATCCCTGTGGAACGCTTTCAACACCTCGTGGAGTCCATGCCCCGACGATTGAGGCTGTTCTGAGGGCAAAAGGGGGTGCAGCTCAATATTAGGAAGGTGTTCCTAATGTTTGGTATACTCAGTGTATACCCTAAAAGGAGATGCTGCTTAATGGGCGGTGTATGCAAAATATAACAATATTAATTTCAAATACATTTAAAAAATCACAAGGTTGGTGATTTGTGACTTTCCCAAAGACATGTCTGTTGACAAAGAGCGCGAGTAATCATTTACATTTTCGTCTTCTCATGGTCTCGCGCCTCGCCCTTTCCCTTCGCTTAGTGCGTGCGCCACTCTCGCTCTCCGTAACAAAGGCAACCGTGTCACTACGGCGTGGCGTCATCCTCCTCCTCCTCCCCTTAAACCCCCCTCCCTCCCTCCCATCCCCTCACGGCGCTCTAACTTGCTAAATGCGGAATGTTTTTTAAAAGGTTTAATTATCTCGATGTTTCTATCCCCTAGACGTAGAGATAACATTGCAATCTCTCCAAATCCACAGTACAGTGCTACCCCTTTCAGCAGGTTAGCTGTCTAGCCGCTGGCGCGACTCCCAATTTGGAGCTGTCAATCTCCCGTGCTCAAACCAACGCATTTTGATTATACGTAGACGAGGGGCGCTGGCTCGTTGAACTCACTGCCAATTAGACAATTGGGTCCTTAGCTGGAAGCATAAAAAAACAAATGCACTGCTCGGCTTGTAACTTTCCACTCAAAAGACTGAGTGAGTACTCTGCTGCTATGCTCTCCATTTACGCACCAGTGTCAGGGATGGCAAAAACCCTCCAAAGCAGTCAGCAGGGGAATTAGGCTACATTATTCTTGTGGGCTGTCATTGTTCCAACTCTCTGGTCATTTTGAGACTGTGGACAAATAGCCTGCCTTATTTTGAAATCAGATATCAGTCAAATTCCAATGTATTGGTCTAGGCTTTTAGTGTTGAATGTGGAGATGATGATGGTGATGCTGGTAATAGATTACTAACATGAACACATGAGACAGGATTGTCAGTTCAAATCAATAGCAAAGACTGACACGCCCTAAATCAAACAGCAGCCTGATATAAACCCAAATACCTCAAGAAATGAGTTAACCAAATGTGCTTTATTTGGAACAAAGTAGCCGACAAAGTAGCCGACAACATATTCTTGGTCATGGAAATTGTCAAATGGTTTACTAGGCAATCATAATAGTAGGCTAAATAATTTCTACGACAATGGCTTCAGAAGCAGGTGAAGTGAGAGAGATGGAGAGGAGAGAGCGGAGAGGATGCGGCGCGCTTACTTTTCTATCCGTCACCTCTTCTCCCACAGCCTCGATCTCCCCGGAGCACTCCATCCCCGGCGTGACAGGCGGGGACGGCAGCCGGTCGTACAGACCCTGCCGGGCCAGCAGGTCGGCAAAGTTCAGCCCACATGCCTTGACCCGCACCATGACTTCTCCGGCCTTGACTGCCGGCTTCCCCTTCTTCACCTGCAGTTTTACCTTATCATAGCCCCCGTAGCCGGAAAGTACCAGGGAGCGGTAGGTGAACTGCTCTTCCTCGGGGACCTTCTCGGTCGCCGCCGGTGTGGCTGCCGCCTCGGTGGCACTGGCTGGTGGTGACTCCGGCTTGGACTCAGCTTTCGGCTCCTCGCTGGGTTTATTCTCTTGCTTTGTTTCCTCAGCGTTTTGCTGCTGAGCAGGTGCATCATCGCCAGACATTGTGAAGAGTATTAGTAGACAGTGACAAGTCTTGAAATTAAACGTTCACTTATTTTTTATCCGTATTGTCTTTAGGCGCTTTGCTGTAATGACGGGTTGATGAGTCGGCTCTGAGTTAGTCAGGAGCAAAGAGAGAAGTAAAAACCTGATTCTCAGAGCTTCTTCAGCAGCCTTGCATTAGGACACAGACCCGAGTCAATGAGAGCTTCAGCTGAGGAAAGAGCAGGCTGCCTCGCAACAGCTACAGTGGCCAGAGGTTGTCAACTCCGGGCTCTGACAGTGTGTGTGAGTGGGACAAGAAGGAGGCGAGCTACAAAACCCGGAGAGCAGAGTTTCTGAGGAGGAGGAACGACAAGTGGATTTTATAGACAAAACTGACTGGGTCCGCCTATACATTTCGGCATAGCCAGGGGCGGACTGGGACAAAAAATTAGCACTGGCATTTCACACCAGCACACATCCCCGTGACTTATACACATGGGCAGTAATGGTAATGACAAATAACATAGGCAACTATAGTACAGCGTTTCTCAACCTTTACTGTACTGTCTGTCTGTCTGTCTGTCACTCCTAAGTGTTAATTGCTATTATATATAGAGCCAACATATTAAGGAACTGGCAGTACATCTGTGTCTCTCTGTTTTCTTCCTTCCTCCACTGCACTCACTTCTGAGCTGTCTCTGCTAAGCCTAGCATCCTTTCCCACAGCACTGGTACCAGAAGACCATGGGACCACACTGCCTGTGCTGGGCCCAGCAACATCCTAGTTGTGAATGAATAAACACATTTATTAGATAAAGAAGAAAGATTACTGAATACATACCTTATAGATATAATACTTTGTGAAAGCCTTCCTACTTATATTGCAAATACAAGTGTCTGGCTGTCATACATGTTCCCCCCTATCCTAATGGTTAATTACTATTACATACAGTGCCTTTGGAAAGTATTCAGACCCTTTGACTTTTTCCACATTTTGTTACGTTACAGCCTTATTCTAAAATTGATTAAATTAAATTGTTCATAGTTAATCTACACACAATACCCCGTAATGACAACGTGAAAACAGGTTTTTAGAAATGTTTGCACATTTATAAAAAATAAAAAACAGAAATACCTTATTTACATAAATGTCATGGTTTCGGCCGAGGCTGCCTCTCTTCCTTGCTCGGGCAGGCTTCGGCGGTCGTCGTCCCCGGAGTACTAGCTGCCACCGTTGTATGTTTCAATGTTCGTTTGGTTTTGTCTTTATGTTGTACACCTGTTATCGTTTAGCGCTCATTATTGTCCTATAAGTTCTCGTTGTGTTTTGTCATGTGTTGTGTGTGATTGCGCTACTGTTGGTTGTCTGTGCTTCGTTGTTTCCTCCTCTGTTTGGAGAGGGTTCTCGCACATGTTAGTGCGCATTTTGTTATTTACGCCTGTGTGCGTATTTTCTCGCCTCCGGGCTTTTTTGGCTCGTGTTCTAAGTGATTGTTCACTAAAGTCTTTTGGACTAAGTTTCTGCGTCCTGCGCCTGATTCCTGCACCACACCCACCTACAGCACCCACTGACAGAATCACACACCCTAAAGATGGAATCAGCAGGAGCCGCAGCAGCACCTGAGTCTCTGGAGGAACGGGTCCGTGAGCAGAACGATCAGATCCTTCGTATCGGGACCGCCCTTCAGGACGTGATCAACACCCTTCAACGCTGGGAGACCAGAGGGACACCCACAACTCCACCTCCCGTGCCATCACCATCGGCCAGTCAGCCCGTTCAAGCTCCGGAACCCAGGGGAATTCGGCTCTCGCTCCCGAGGGCATATGATGGGACCGCTGCCGGGTGTCAGGGCTTCCTTCTGCAGGTGGAACTATACCTGGCCACCGTACACCCGGCGCCCTCGGGACACGAGAGCGTGTCCGCCCTCATCTCCTGTCTTACCGGCAAGGCGTTGGAATGGGCCAACGCCGAGTGGAGGAGAATAGACGCCTCCACTATCACCTACTCTGAGTTCTCCCGCCGCTTCAGGGCTGTGTTTGACCATCCACCTGAGGGGAAAGCGGCCGGGGGAGCGTCTGTTCTACCTCCGGCAGGGGAGGAGGAGCGCCCAGGAGTTCACTTTAGAATTCCGAACTCTAGCGGCGGATGCAGGGTGGAATGAGCGGGCCCTCATAGATCACTACCGCTGTAGTTTACGGGAGGACGTCCGTCGGGAGCTGGCCTGCAGGGATACCAGCCTCACTTTCGATCAGTTAGTGGACATGTCCATCAGGCTGGACACCCTGCTGGCTACCCGCGGACGTTCCGAGGGGGGTCCGTCCATTCCATCCTCCAGCACCTCCGAGCCGAGCCCGATAGAGCTCGGGGGAGCTGGCGCTAGAGAGAGGAGGGGTCGGAGCACGAGGGGGGCCGTCCCCTGCACCAACTGTGGCCGTGGAGGACACACCGCGGCCAGGTGCTGGGGAGGGTCTCCTAGGGGAGAAGACGGCAGGCTCCGCACTGGGGAGTCCTTCCAGGTGAGTAGGCGCCCCACTTACCCAGAGCTCTCTGTTGCGCACTTCTGTCTACCTGTGCGTTTTCCACAGGTTGCACCTCATTCCCAGCATAGAACACCTGCCCTGCACTCCAAAGGCCCATCACAGTGTCCCTACAGAACAGCGGATGCGACAATGGCCTAGCCAAATGGCGAAAGATTGTTGGCCATTTCAAACACAGCCCACCAAATGCTGCAGAGCTAGGACAACAGCAAGTTACAAATGGGCTAAAGAAGGAGTCACTCGCACAAGATGGAATTCCACTCTGGAAATGATCAAGTGTGTCCACAGAAACCAACAACCACTGAGAGATGCTCTGGCCCAACAGAAAACTAACATCACCATGCCAACCACAGCTGAACTGGAGAAACTACTGGAGCCCTGCAGGTACTTGACTGAACTTCTGGGAGGAGAGAAGTACATTTCCTGCTCAGTGGTGTTGCCTGCTTTGTGAAATCTCCTTTGGGTGATGGAGAGCTCCGATGATCACCCTGCCTACATGGTAAGATTCAAGCTGACATTCACAACAGACCAGGAGAAACACAAGGAAAACACCAACCTCACATGGCTGAAGATCGCAGCATAAGGGAGCTAGTAGATTCAGGCGCGGCTGGGAATTTTGTTTGATATTAATTTTGTTTAGAATTAGGGATTCCCCTTCTTCCTGTTAATGTCCCATTCCCCGTTCATGCCCTAGATAGCCGTCCGTTGGGATTGGGCTTGATCAGGGGAGTCCAGCACCACTTAGGAATGTGTACGCAGGGGGGTCATGAGGAGATTATCCAACTGTATCTGATCGACTCTCCTGCGTATCCGGTGATGCTGGGAATTCCCTGGTTGAGTCTCCATAATCCGTCTATTTCGTGGCAGGAGAGGGCTCTGATGGAGTGGTCTGCCCAGTGTGTGGGGCGATGTCTAGGTGTTTCCGTGGGGGCGACCTCGGTGGAGAGTCCAAACCAGGTGCACGCACTGCACATTCGCCCCGAGTATGAGGATTTGGCTATCGTGTTCAGTAAATCGAGGGCGACGCAGTTGCCTCCTCATAGGCAGGGAGATTGTGCGATAGACCTCCAGGCAGGAGCAGCGCTCCCACGGAGTCATGTGTATCCTCTGTCTCAAGAGGAGAAGAGAGCTATGGAGACTTACATAGACGAATCTCTGAGACAAGGATACATACGGCCATCCACTTCCCCTGCGTCCTCGAGTTTCTTTTTTGTGAAGAAGAAGGATGGAGGGTTACGCCCGTGCATTGATTACCGTAGTCTCAATCAGATCACGGTGAAATACAGTTATCCACTCCCGCTGATTGCGACCATGACGGAGTCATTGCACGGGGCGCGTTTCTTCACAAAATTACAACTTGGTACGCATTAGAGAGGGCGATGAATGGAAGACAGCGTTTAGTACCACCTCGGGTCATTACGAGTATCTCATCATGCCATACGGGTTGATGAACGCTCCTTCAGTTTTGCAATCATTCGTGGATGAGATCTTCAGGGACATGCAGGGGCAGGGGGTGGTCGTGTACATAGATGACATTCTTGTGTACTCTTCTACCCGAGCCAAGCATGTAGCCCTGGTGCGCCGAGTGTTGAGGAGGCTGTTGGAGCACGACCTGTATGTCAAGGCAGAGAAATGTCTGTTCTTCCAGGAGTCGGTCTCCTTTTTGGGTTATCAGTTGTCTGCGTCAGGGGTGAAGATGGAGGTTGACCGGGTGTCAGCCGTGCGTAATTGGCAGACTCCAACCACTGTTAAAGAGGTGCAGCAGTTTTTGGGGTTTGCAAATTACTACCGGAGGTTTATCCGGGGTTTTGGACAGGTGGCAGCTCCCATAACGTCTCTGTTGAAGGGGGGTCCGGTGGGTTTGCAGTGGTCAGCCGAGGCGGACAGGGCTTTTGGGAGACTGAAGGACCTGTTTACTTCGGCTCCGGTGCTGGCGCATCCGGATCCCGCTTTACCATTTCAGGTAGAGGTGGACGCGTCCGAGGCCGGTATAGGGGCCGTGCTTTCGCAACGGTCCGGCACGCCACCTAAACTCCGCCCCTGTGCCTTTTATTCCAAAAAGCTCAGTCCGGCGGAGCGAAATTATGACGTAGGGGACAGGGAGCTGTTAGCCGTGGTACAGGCCCTTAAGGTGTGGAGGCATTGGCTTGAGGGGGCTCAACACCCTTTTCTCATTTTGACTGACCACCGTAACCTGGAGTACATCCGGGCAGCTAGGAGACTGAACCCTCGCCAGGCGTGGTGGAACATGTTTTTAGCCCGGTTCGTATTTAAGATCACGTACATCCCTGGGTCACAGAACGGTAAGGCAGACGCACTGTCTCGGCGGTATGACACGGAGGAGAGGTCCGTGGAGCCCACTCCCATACTGCCGGAGTCTTGTCTGGTGGCACCGGTAGTGTGGGAGGTCGATGCTGAGATCGAGCGGGCGTTGCGCACCGACCCTAGTCCTCCTCAATGCCCGGAGGGTCAGACGTACG